TTGACTGGAGACCCGAACTCAGGTCTAACATACTTCATGCTGAGGTTTCCTTTATGTGTTTTGATTTTCCCCAGCAGGTCAGGGGCCAGTGAACGAGAACGAAAACAATCATCTTCAACAGGAAGATGCGTCGCTAGGAAGAACTGAACCAGCTGCTTTCCAGGGTGGTGACCAGGGGCAGACCTTGGGGCATCATAATGGACCAGCCAAAGAGACAAAGGAAAAGCAGAAGAAAAAAGTCGGAAATAAGACCAGTGACCTCCCCAAGGGGATCCTGAAGGGCAGGAGTCCAAACACGTGCCCTCCGAGCGGAAAGAAACCCAGACCCAAATCTCCTTGCATCCGCTTTGCAGAGAGCCCCTTCACGTGCTCCTATTGCGGGAAAAGCTTCTGCCGGCAATCCTACCTGTTCCAGCACCGCCGAATCCACACGGGGGGAAAACCCTACCGCTGCTCGTACTGCAGCAAGAACTTTCGCGAACACTCGCGCTTGACTAAACACGAGCAGCTGCACACGGGCGAGAGACCCTACAAGTGCACCGACTGCGGGAAGAACTTCACCCAGCGTGCCAAGTTCTACCAGCACCGCAGGGTCCACTTGCAGGGGAAACGTTACCGATGCGCGAGCTGTGGGGAGAACTTTGACCAGCTCGTGCGGCTTCACGAGCACCAGCAGGTCCACGGCACAGAGAGGCCTTACCGGTGCTCCGAGTGCGGGAAAAGTTTTGACCACAAGTCCAGCTTAGTGAAGCACAAGGTGACCCACACGGGAGAGAAACCCTATCAATGCTTGACGTGCGGGCGGCGCTTCAGCCAGTCCTCCAATCTTCACAAGCACTTCAAAATCCACACCGGGGAAAAACCATACACGTGCGCTACCTGTGGGAAGTCTTTCACCCAGCGCTCACACCTCAACTTGCACGAGAATACTCACAAGGGATTTAAGACCTACAAGTGCTTAGATTGCGGCGATAGCTTTTCTGACCGGTCTCACCTCATGAAACATAAATTGGTTCACAGGAACCCAGCTGCCGCTTCT